GCTAGGAGGAGTCTTCTGGGCAATGAAAAGTGCAAGGAAAAAGCTTTTATGGAAGAAAGCAACAAATGAAAAAATAAAAAAAATAAAAGAAGGGAACAGCAAGCTCTAAGGGACACTGCAGTGTGAATTTAACATATGATGTATTGGTTCATAAAAAAACCCACCAATCTTCAAGTCAACACCTTGGGTAATATCTATGTAGATTTTTTTGCACTAGTTACATACTGAAGGAATACTATAGCAATTTGATTTTCAAAAGCATTCAACACGTACAGTTGAAGAGAAAACCCTTTAAAATTCTTCCCTAGCAGCTGAGTTCACCATCTGAAGTACCATTGCAAGTCTTAGCCAGCTATTTTGAAGGAGTACTATAGAATGCCTTTGGGTTTGAATGCCAGAAGCCAAGTCAAAACTCAGAGTGGTCTTTTTCCCCTGCAGTCACTCACCCAAACCATTAGAAGGAACACACAGAGCACATTTGTGGCTCCAAGAAAATGAGAGCTTGGTTTCAGCTGCTGATACCAACACAGAGCAGTAACTTGACCATAAGTAGTCCCATGAAGAAGTGGAAGTAATATGGCTAAAAATTATGTTAACAAGCCAAAGCTAGATGCCATTGAAAAGCAGGGAGACTTTTCACTCCATTCTGCAATTTATCATTTTCAGATTTTTTTATTTTACAATTGTTATTAGTACATGCTTTAGTCTTTGCTTTTTGTTATCTCGTTTGTTCTTAAACAGTTTTACAAAAAAAGCCACCCCAAAACTACTGCATTATCAAAACCTATATGGCTTTCTATGAGAATGCATCAGCTTTTCAACCTACGTATTTACAATCTTTATCAAAAAGTAGCATTGCACACAACAACTTCGTAAACCATAATAAATACTGCCTTGTCAGAATATTTAGTTGACAGTATATGACCTTGTTGTAAACACATTTTGAATTTATTTCGATGATGGTATTCCTATAAACCAACAAAATTAACCCTGGAGAAGCCATTAGTACCAGTGCAAACAGACCTGAGCAAGAGCAAGTCCAGTTCCCTACTTTGATTCATCATCTATTCCCACTGTTAATAGTAACAGCATGGAGAAAAGCAGGCTTACAGCTGGTGGCAGCTTTAATACATGCTAAATAAGAAGATAAAAGCACAGAGGTATACCTACAGCAGCTTTTTCTAAGTGATGCTTTTCAAAGCTATTTCAGTGGCAGAATTGTGGCAGCTTGTGCTTATAGCCAAGAATGATAGAGGTTTGTATTGAGATGCATTGCAGTAAGTCACTTTCCTCTGCATTTTTCAGCCTATGCAGGAAACCCAAGCTTTTTGTAAAGGTTAACTGAGTTTCAATGGCCAGGAAGGGTGAAAAAGCCCCAGGTGGGAGGCAGACCAACATGGGAGCCGGAGATGCAGGCTGCTGCTACATCGCACTGCTGCGGAAGGAGTGATGCTGAAATTCCTAAAATCAGCCAAAGAAATTGGCTCTGGAGCTCTATAAAATTCCAGGGGCACCACTTACAACCGCAGTCAGCCTGAGGTATTCAGTTCAAGAAAGATTAATCACAGATGAATCAGCCTTTTGTTTCTTTTTTGACATTTCAGAACCCTTTCTAGTATTCCATCTATCTGAAGTCTGGCCATGCCTTGATACCAAAGTAGACTGTTTGAAATAATTCCATTTACATTGGCCTGCATACAAGTCTGGATAAAGATTTCAGTCAAAACATCTCTTCAAATCACAGAATGGTCTTCAAATAGCACACAGATAGTGAGGCAAGGAGGCACTGGGTCTGTTCGAAGCTTGCTGATGTTATTCATTTACTGACTTCATGGAGCAGTGTCAGGGCAAGGGGATGGTTGGCCAAACCCAGAGACAATAGGTGCTCCAGTGGCACTATTTACATGCAAATATTGACATTGAAAAAGCATTTAAAGAAGATAAATCACAAAATACCCACAACCAGAAGTAAAGAAACTCAGGGAGCAAACTTCACCAACAAAATCTACCTGGTGTCACCCACCAGACTCAAAATCGGTATCAAGGAGCTACGAAGGATAGAACAGAAATTAGATTAGCATTACAGTGAGCTCAGAAGCAACTGGAGAATGCAAGTTTAATAACACAGAACCACAGAAAAAAATTTTGTGGGATAAATCAGACAAGCTTGGCACAATAAAAACAATCCAAGAGCTCTCAAGTATCTCTCTGATGTGGCCATTGGTTTAGTTCTGAAATTTTATAAATCTATGTTTGTAAACAAATGTCTTCAGCTGAAAATACATTTAAAATTAGATTCAGAATGCAAACGCTTGAGAAGCAAGCCTGAGTCCAACATTATCCTAAAATAAAGCACCTCCTTGTAGTTCAAGTTTTATCACAGGCTCCAGAACACATTAGGAGAAAGACTTTGCATCTTACAAGTGCTGGAAATTTTTCCAGAATACTATTTTGCCAACATAAGAACTACCACATCTAACAAAGCCTGAAGAGTTTAACCACAAGCTCGTGAATTTTAACAGAGAACCATTTTAATCTTGCATGTAGCTGATCTATCCCCCCCAAAAAAATGGAATAAAGCCACTGCTTTGTGTTTTTCATCATATTTTTCCATATTAATATAGTTCATAGAACTACAGAAATCCTTTTGTCTCAATTTAATGTAGATTTTATTGCACTGGTACATAAATATTAACCCATAGATGGGAACAAGTCTAGGAAGAGCCTAGTGCAGAAGACTAGCCTAAAATTGTGAATATTCCTTTCCCCATTTGCAATTTCCCTGGCTCCCTGCCATTACAGAAAAAGACATTGCAATCAAATGCAAACTATTTAGGAACCAAAAGAACAGAAAGGAAAGGAGTCAAAAGCAAGCTCACTTTTCAAGACTTGTGTAATTACCACTCTGATCCATTGTGGTGGATGATGCTCTTTACCCATTTAGCTTGCTGCTGATAATTCAAGATTTCTCAGCCCTATTCTCGAGCCACTGGAATCCCCCCCCCCCCTTTAGGATCCTCTTCCATGACATTCAGGCCTTTGATCTTCACTGGACATCACATCACACACCGTTTACACCAAAAATTGTATTGTTTGTAGAAGCAGAAGATGAAAATGTCACAGGCTGACCACCAAAAACAAGCTGAGCTCTGCCCTGACATGCTTAGCAGCAGCCACCCCAACAGCTGCACTGCTGATTGCAGAGGAGATGTCTACAATTTGCATTCCAAGGAAGTACTCATGTAGAACAAGACTTTGACATTTGCTGCTAGATATCTATACCTCCAAGCTAGGAGGGGTGTATTTAAAACTAAAGCATTCTGCTATGTCCTTGTGCAGACAACATTAATTCATCACTCTCGGATTATAACATAAATGGGCAGAACAGTCCGTTGCACAGATCCCCAATTATTTCAGCCAGGTCTTGTGCAGGAGACTGAGATTGACTTAATGCAAAGTGGAACCCTGTCAAACTCCTTAAATCAACATCACCAAGTCACTGTTCTTTACGCATCCCCTGTCAGCAGAAAAAAAAGGCAGCTTCACAAGCATTCAGACTGACGAAGTGAGCTCCAAAAGACAGTATGGTGCAAACCAGTATTCAGACTCAGGTGTTTTTGCCAGAAGCATTCTTTAAAAAAAATCAAATAGAAATGTCAGCTTATGCATTTCTACTGGTCATAACCTGTGGCTTGAAGGAAAATTTCCTAAGATTCCCCAAATCCTGCGATGTCACTGTAATCAAATGTAATGTGTGTGTTCTTAGAACACATTTCTTATAGAAAGATGCTGTCCCTAGCCTCCATTACCAACTATCTGAGCACAGACAAGTGGCACAGAAAACGACAAGCAGAAAATAACAATGGTTAGCTGTTTAACCCATTTAATTTGCTTGTATGGCACCTGTTCAGTAACACTTACCTACAGCCTTTCCTTCTCCCAGACTGAAGTCACTAAGGAAAGGGAGCCTCTAAAATCCCTTTAAACCAGAACCAGGCAAGGCATTCAACATGTAATGCCACTAAGCCAAGCTGGTGTTGCTTGAATTGTTTAATCTGCCAAGTCAGTTCTTCCCCACTCTGCTCAACCACTTCACAATGGCAAGAGCATTATCCAGAAGCATTTATGATTTGTTTCAGTGTTTTGGCTTTTCTTTCACAACCATCACTTCTATGAACATCGCTGCTTTTTGGCTATTTGAAAGCAAGCTGAAAATGCAGTTTTCAGCACATTTTGAGGACGAGAAAAAAAACACTAAGAACTCCTGATCTAGATTTCGTTTGCTTTCTACATTTCCATATTATTAATGTATATCATTATTTGTAAACTTCAAATTTCTATCATTTTCACTATTCTGATATTATGCAGCAAGGTTGAAAAAGCAATGATATCTTTATAAAGAATAGTTGGGATCAAATAAACAGAGGAGATGGACCCTTGGGCATATAGGTTTAAACAAAGTTGAGGCTAACAGAGATTACAAAGGAGATTCGATGGTGGACTGGTTGTGCCAAACGTTCTGGGATTCTCCTCACCCTTTCTGCTACTTGATCCAAAATTCCTAACAATCTGGCTTCTCATAGTTTTATCTGCAGAGTAAGCCCCAGGAAGTCATGCTATCTCTGCCTACAGTCTCTAAGCAACAGTTCCACAAATACTCAGCCAAACCCAAAGAAGGGAGAATTTCAGTCTGTTGCCAAATATACTGTAAACATGAGACACCCAGGTAACCAAATGACAAACTATTATCTGACAGCCTTGAAAATCTCTCCAAGTGAACAGCTTTTAAGCCAACTTGTAATAAATACCACATGTAGCTAAACTTTAAAAAAAATAAATAATCCTAAGTCAAGTTAAAGAGTAACCAGTGTCCACATTTAACCACGTAAAGTCTATTTTGAAATCCAAAGTGACAATTACAAAAATATTATGCTACTATGAGAACTGTCAAATGCTTTGAATAATTGTACACAAAGGAAAGAAGTAAAAACACACTTTACCTTGTAGCGCATTTTGGGGCACGAATGAATGTAGAAACCCATGTAATAAAAACAGAGATCAGGAGCTTTCTCATGAAGTTGCCTAGTAAAAGCAATTTCCCTACGAAAGGAAAACAGAAAAGGACTAATTATTTATGAATACAATTCCTACATTCATTTCATCATTCAAAGAAATGCTTTGCAACCACCTGGCTTTTGACTTACTTGAAGGACTAGACTTCAATCAAACAATGAAGATAACAAACAAAACATTGTCTGAGGCTTAAAAACACTCATTTTTGCCTTTTGCCTTGCCATGTCACCAACTTGGAATTCAGAGAGAAAGTGACCAAAAGCCTTTATTTAACACATTCCCTGTTAATATTCATGCACATTGGAATTCTACAGCAATCTGACCCAGCTATTGTACACACGCAGGCTAACGCAGCTCAGGAAAACATCAGTAATCTTAAAAAACAAGCTTCAAGGATAAGCCTCGTTTGTTCTGTTCTTTGCATTCTAGTAACTTACACATAAAAACATCCATCCTCATGCAGCAATAGCCATTTTTCACTTATCTCATGTTTGTTTGCACGATTTTCTCATTTATTCTCAAAGAGAACCACGAGCGTATTCCAAAATAAGTTTGCTTGTTATTTTGCTTGCAAGAGGAAAGCAGTGTTTTCAAAATGAACCTGCCAGCATTTCTACTACAACACTCATTTTTACAGTATTTGTAACATTGCAGTTCACACTTGCATCAAATTTGATGGAACTTGGATGCTGGTTCTTACTTTCAGCATTGAAAGAAAAAGATCTGAGCATGGTCCTGTAGGAAACATGTATAAAACCTATTTGGGGTTTGTTGTTTTCTTTTTCTGATCACTTTAAAATTATAGTAGTAATGGGAATGTTTGAATATGCTGAAAATCTGACATTTCAGTTCCATATACTTTGCTGAGACCATTGGGGTACATTATAATTCTATATCGTATCTGCTGAAAAAGGAAAATATCTCCAAGTTATTTCCTATCTGAAAATCCAGGTAAATAGAACAGATTCCAAAAGTGAGGTTTATATACTACCAAAAGTGTACCAACATGCATGTCACATACAACATCTTTTAACACATAGCATGAAGTCAAACATCCTTACCATTCCAAGCTGATTATCCCAGATCTAATTAAATATATACCTTAGTGCAATTGTACAAACCTGGAAGACTACAGGAAAAGAACATTCTTTGTATTTGTAAATACCTTCAACGCTGTTTGCAATTGGTCTACATTGGCTGATTTAATAAAACAAAAAGACTTAAAGTGAAGAAGTAAACTTTTAATGACCATAAGGCAATGAGGTTGGGCTGCAATAGCAGCCCTACGGGCAGCTCTGTTGTAAGTTTGCTGGGGGATCACAGCAAATTAATGCACAACAGCAGTGATACCATGCTTAGAATCACTGCAGGTGTCTTCACATAAATGGCAGTGCAGAAATACACTCTAAGAATGACAAGTAATATTGGGGAACAAAAAAGCATCCTTCAGTCTCTTACCTCCAGGGCTCTGTAGAGTACAATTGTACCTTAAAGATTCCTTTCTTGCTCCCTAGTTCACTGACCAACTGAGCACGTGCAAACCTATGGTTCCCAAAACCAGGAGGGAACTGCAGCGCTGCACAGGGGTGAGAAGTGTACCACTGCAGCCCAAGCTGAGACCTAATGCAAAAAAAGACTCTTCCATCATACCAACCTGGCAGCAGCAATGCAGCACTACATTGCACAACTCACACCTACCTGCAGTTGTTTTCTGCCTAAATCATTCTCCTGGAAAAGGGGTTACAGGCTTGAACTTAATTTTTTTAAATTAAGGCTTTCAGTTTAAGATACATATTTAAGGAATTACAATGGCTGTTAACGCTGGGCAAGAATAGGCAACTTGTGAGCAAAACACATCAATACAAAACTCAGTATTTCAGTGCTAAATAACCCAATTCCAAAAGAACTTTAAGCATTTTTTTCCTCTTACAATAGATAGATTATGAATATTACAGTTACCTACTACTAATGATTGTAGGTAGCAGGGGGAATGCTGAACATGCTGAAAAGTGACAATAAGAATCACTTCACACGTCCTGGTCACTTCCCCCAGCCCTTCCTCAGACTCATCTGTTACATGTAGCCTCTTCTCTCCTCATTCTGTACTCAAATGCCTCCTTATTTCAAAAGATGTTCAAACTGCATCCTTTCTACGACTCAGGAGCAAAAATTTTCAGAATAGCATGAAGTGGAAGCGATAGCATTGCAATGCAGTTTAACCTCCTCAGAGTAAAATTGGCAACAGCTTTTAAGATATCAGATTCCTTTGCAACTTCCTAAATCCTCCCCAAGTCTTAAGGGCTTTTTCCCCCTTTTTGAAAAGAGAACAAGACTGCCCCCCTCCCTCCAAGCCTACTGAAAACTCATTTTTATTGACTTAAATGCAGAAGAATTTACAAGCTCCTTTTTCATGAGTTGAGCCACACAAGCATGCTGCAATGACAAAGCTTTAAATTCATTATGTAGAAAATTTTAAATCATTTCAAGAATTCATAAGCATGGATTATGTCAGTCTATTATTACATAATGTGATACATAAAGGTACTGAAAAACAAGTTTTAGAATTTGCTTATAGCAATTTGCATTAAAAAGGTAAGTCTAATTTTAAGTATCAACTGTATTAAAATCCAGACCACTATTAGAAACAAAGATCACTTCCACATCACAGTCATTCCAATGTTTTTCTACCTGTTATTTCTGATTTCCTTCTGATTTGGAAAAATGGTAAATCAGACACTTAACTACAGACCAAATGAGATGCTACACATCAATGTAACCCACAGTTACATTAATGCACCTGACAACTTGAAAGTTATCCCTGATCTGGGGTAACAGATCAGGACAAGAGATACCCAGAGGCCCATTCCTGCCTAAACTTTTCTACAATCCTACAGTTTCTCCTTCATAAGGGAAATCTCTAGAACAAGGTGAGGAAAGCCAACAGGAAGGCAGTGTTATCAGCTCCTGCCAAAAGCACCAGGAGAAACTGCTCATAGAGCTTAATCGATCTAGAAGCTTACCAGAGTGGGAGGTTCTGCCCTCTGTCCAGCCATTCTCAGCTTCATGGCTCCACCATAGTACTGGAGCTGGTGCAAGAGCTAACAGCTTCTTCACTAAGAGCTCAGCTCACTAACCAGGTTGCTGAAGCAAAGGCTTCTACTCAGTAAACTAAGCTGGCTAAAGGTGTGATCGCTTCTAGCAATCATAGATGGTAGATATGGAGGAGTGACTGCAGTGACTCATTTCAGCAGGAACAAACCATTAGACTAACGTCAGCAACTTAGCAGTGAATTTAGTGAAACTGCTCTTGATAGATGCATTTGTGTAATTCATATGTAGATTATTCACAAATCACAAAGGTCACCTCTACAAAGAGACGAATACACTCAAAAAGTTTGATAGTTAACCTAAGGCTTCAAAATTCACAGGATTACTCTGTCTGTCAGACAAAAGGTAATGAGATTAACATACTTGAAAATACACTCAGCACTAGTATAGCAGGAAACCACTAATTCAGAAGACAGTTTTTACAATCTCACTGTGCACACAAATATAAAAGTGATTAATTTCATTTGGTGACTAAGCTAAGGTAAAGGAAGAATTATTTCCATCCAAACAAAAAAGAGACTTTTCTCTATTGAAACCAAGCAATACTAAATTATTTTCTGGGGAATAAAGACCAGGTATTTCCTTTCTGAGCTTTTCAGACTTTAATCTTTAAGTCTATTTAGCTAATTAGAAAGATTAGAAAATTCAGGATTCAGATATGCATCCAACTGTTGAGAATTTTAAAAAAATAATTTTTGCTAGAGATAGTGTTAGCAGCATATGTTTAGAATGGAAATCAAGTCTCAGTTTAGGAAAAAGTATCAATTCTTACTATTATGTCAAATCAGAAAATAAAAACCTTCTTACCGTAATGCAGAGTAGACTCCCAAAGATAAGAAGGAATAGTCTGGATCGTAGTACAGATAGACAGAGGACACACAGTAGGGCAGAATATCAATGACACCCACAGCTATTATCTTCCCATCCAGCCAGTACTGCTGGTGAAAAGAACCATAGCCACATTCTGGTCCATTTGGTGGATTCTCTGCCTGAGGAAAAACAGGATATCATTATCAGACTGGTAGATTTTCATTTCAGACTGGTAGAACAATTTTAGACAGATTTTAAAAGACAATACTGTGAGAAATCTTTCCTGCTATACACATTTAGAGAAAGGATAACAGGAATTTGAGAAACGGGAAACAATATTAGTTCTCTGTATCGTTTTTGATTTTTCACTGTAGAATAGAACTGTAGAATCACAAAATATCCCAAGTTGGCAGGGACCCATAATGACGATCAAGTCCAACCCCAGCTCCACATAGCATCTCCCAAACCCAATGTCTGAGAGTGGTGTCCCAGCATCCCCCTGAGCTCTGGCAGCTCAGAGCCATACCCACTGCCCTTTGGGGCAGAGCTTTCCCCTAACCCCTACCTGATACAGCTCCATGCCGTTCCCTCAGACCCTGTCACCAACCCCAGGGAGCAGAGATCAGTGCTGCCCCTCTTTACCCTGGGAGGAGCCGTGGGCTGCCATGAGGACTCCCTCCTCAGCCTGCTCTGCTCCATGCCCAGCAGACCCATGGAGCTCAGCTGCTCACACATCTTGCCCTCTGGGCCCATCACCATCTTGGTTGCATATCCATGCCTTTGGTCACAAAAGTTCAGTTTCTCGGTGTAGCCACTGAGATTCTTTGAGAACAGGTTTATAAAAAGCACTTTTCAGCTCACTATGTAGGTTTTACTCTTTATGACCAACTAAAGAACTTTTATCTACAAGCCTGGAGCTCTCTGTTGCCTCAGAACTTGGAGCTTCTTGCTGTCAGCCCACAAAGAGAGCTTCTGCAAAACCACTGATGTGCACTGGGCTTTGAACTCACAGCAAAGTACACTTCCACACTGGGTAAAAGCACCTAAGCCAGGATGCCTCAAATTACAAAGAAAATTATCTCCTAATTTAAATTGTATTGTGCAATCAACTCTGGCATGCCTTTTCCTCCAACATTAAGTTACTTTAATCCTGAATTTCGCAGTGCTGAATTTAATTATCCATCTAGTTGTGTTTTCGCTGTATTGCCAGATCTTCAAAAAGCAGCTTCTCACTCAATAAATCTGACAATACTACCTGCTATTACCAACTGTTTTGCATTACAACAGCAGGAGGAGGGTTTAATCAAGTATTTTGATACAGTAGCATAGACTGAAGGGATGACGGGCAGTAGAAGTTATTCTAATTGTTACCACGTGTGTCAAAAGAAAAATCAATCATTTGGACAAAAATCATTTCGACTGACTTACCCAACCAATAAGTCCTAAAAGAAAGGCTGTGCAATAAAGCATGTACATTTTTATTCAGTCACATAGCATAAAACTAGATACGTAGCTGAAGATACTATACAAGTGAAATGATCAAATTTTGAGAGCTAAATCTGCAGAATATGAAGATATTAGAGGGGGAATACTGATACATGAAGCTGAGGTTCTTTCCATTTAGGAGAAGCCTACACATTTGGTAATCACTGTTTCATACAATATCCTCAACTTTTCAGTAAAGCCAAATGAAATCACATGGCTAGTATTAAAATTTTTAAGCTGAGACACAGTCAAAGTTTGAGAGTTTGGAATAAAGAAAGATTTTCTTTAAGGGTAACCCTAAGAGACCAGGTTAAGTTCTTAACCACCACGGTGCAGCAGGTGACTTAAAAAAGGAAGCAATCCTAGGGGAGACGTCACTTGTAATTTAAACACAGACTGATTTAAATAACCAGATAAATTTAAATAACCAGATAAAACAGATTTCATTTCTTTTTCAAAAATTAATTGCATTGAAATTAATAAACGTGATAAAAGATTGTCTGCAACAACATGGAAAAAATTTTCTTCTACAGGTAAAACACTGTTGTGTGCACAGAAACCCTACCTTGGAATGGCATTGCATGGGTTCAGTCACATCTGCCAACTGCAGCATCAGCTCAGTTAAGAACTTTTAGTAAGGCATGAAACTGCAGCATTATTCCATTAACTCAACTACAAAGAAATCCACAAACATAAAAGAGGCTGTGTTCTTTAACAAGGATAACAAGCACAGTACTCATTTCAGGCAAAATGTCCAGGGATCTGTTACATAAAGTAAATAACATTTTTAAAAAGCACATTCTCCTCCTCCTTGAGAAGTTTTCATACAATATAATCCTTTGTAGCATTTGTAAGTACTATGTTTTCTCCAATTTCTCAATGAATACTTGGCTCCTTTGCCTTGATTTCTCACATACCATCCAGGCCATTAGACATGTAACAGGCCCAGCATAGGAAACCCTCCCTATGAGCAGGTTATACCATTTCACATTGCTGATACAGCCACATGGGACCATAACTGTCAAAGGCTATGTAAAATATACACGGGACATCATGCAGTTGAGCCCCACCAGAGAAGGGAGCCCTTATCAACACAAAATAACACATTAGCCTTTATACTACAAAAACACGAGCTGCTCTTGCCACTGAGAACATCACCATTTCTCTGAGTAATGAATCAACAAATGTAACGTGAGAGGTGTTGCATGGAAAGAGATCAAAACCAATATCCTCTTACTTCCTCACGCAATTAATGTTCAAATGATAGGTGCTGCTAGTCATCTTAAACAAAAGCCCCACTATCCTACCCACGTAAAAAAAGAAATGCAAACATTTGAAATTAACTGTTTTGTTTATATTCATTACATGCATTAAATAAGTTATATGAAAGGATTAAACACTAAAACTAGAACTAAAACTCAGGCAATGATATAAAAGGCACAATTAAACATGCTATATTAGGAACTATTAATACCCCCTAGCTTTCATAGCTATTTCTGCCCCATATTTTCTTCATGAATGGGTGATTGATCATAATTTATAATACATTATTAACACTTAAATATTTAATACAGTCTGGCATTACATGTTGCCCTAATTAATACAATTCAATGTAATAAGTGCTTATAATGAAACTTCAGTGATGGTGAGAGCACTCAATTTTCTTCAAAGCACATTGGTCTTTCACTTTACTTCTAATACAGTTCAGTGTTATTAATATAGAAATTAGACTAGTTAACCCCTAACCCAGACTGGTGTGCAACTACAGAAGGCACTGTACCATCCCCCATGAAAATGAGTCTTAATCCTGATAACTACATGATTGTTTTCCTCTGGGAGGTTTCATGAAAACTCCTACTTCAAACATTTCCATTTTACTCTCTGCTGTGGATGGAAGAAGGAAAAAAAAAAATGAAATCCATGCTACCCTATACAAAGAAAAATAAAAAAAAAAGCAACCAGGAAACTCTTGATTTCTACCTCAAGTGGAAATTATTTGCCAAAGTGAAGTGATAAATTCCAGCAGTTCTTCTCCCAAAGGCACACACACAAAACCTACCATATGGTAGTTTTTTATCTTACTTGGCTATTAACATATCTCCTGTTCACTACTGTCTCCTCCTTTCACTAGGGATTAGTGGAGATGCAGCCTATAAATATAGGCTGTGTCAGCAGAGATGTAGCACTGCAGGCTTCCATCCAAACAAGAAGAAAAAAAATAAAGAAAAACCAGCAATGCACCCTCACATCAAAATAGCACCTACAGCACCTGGCTGCACCAGGCAGAGCACTGCCAGCAGCTCAAGGCAGGTGTTGGTAGCTCTGTTGCATACTTCCCTCTCTATGCTGCACCGTACAGATGCAACTGGAACACCGGGTTCTGTACAGGGAAATACAGACTGACTCGTGAAGGGCCATGAAGATGATGAAGGACTGGAGTATCTGACATACAAGGAGAGAGCTGAGATCCTTCAGCATCAAAATCAGATGACCTGGGGAAGGTTCTGTTTATATGTATAACACCTGACAGGAGGTAATAAAGACAAGGGAGCCAGACTCTTCTCAGTGGTGCCCATTGACAGGACAGGAAGCAATGGGCACTACATAAAAAACAGACAAAATTCACTCTGAACAAGAAAACTTTTCTATTACAAGCATGGTTCAACACTGCCACAGACTGTGCCAGCAAGAGCTGAGTGCAAAGATGCACAGAAAGATCCCATCATGCTGAGTAATTAAAGAGACAGTAGAAATACCAAGCGTTCATAAATACCACATGAAGTGCACTAAAAAAAAAAAAACATGTTGCTGTATGCACATCCAAAACAAGGGGTGATTGGCCATGCTGATTTTTTGTAGGGAGCCCTGCAAGGTGCTCAAAGCCAGACTGGATGGGGCCTGGGCAGCCTGGTGTAGTGAGGGGCAGTCAGCCATGGCAGAGAATTGTAGAGTGGCTTGGGTTTGAAGGGACCCTAAGGATCATCATGTACCAACACCCTGCCACAGGCAGGGCCACCAGCCTCCAGAAAACCATCCAGAGGATTGGAACTGGATGGGCTCTAAGGTCCCTTCCAACCCAACCATCCTGTGATTCCAATGGTAAGCCAATCCTGTGCTGAGCCACTGGGGTAAAAGACAAATATTCAGATATAGCTTCTAAGAGGAAAGGAACACCGAACAAAACCAAAATCAGTTCTCTGCTGCATCCTGTTTACTGCTAGAAAATTGCTAGTTTTCTGCTACTACATAATGTAACATTTTTTAAAACTATTCATTTTCCTTTATGCCAGAGCCCATAGCCAAAACTGAAACTAAACACCAGCAAAATGGAGAAATAAAGACAGGAAGAGTTTGGGCATCAATACTTATTTGCAGTTAATAATATGTATATTTTTTAAAATTACAAATTGAAATCATGTAAGGCTTAAAATTGATTCTAAATTATTTTTGTTCCAAAGAGTAAACAGACTGCTCACTACTAGATTTTCTTGTGGCAACTGTTTCAGAATAAAGAATTTCAAGAATCTCTTGGCCTCTGATACAAAACCCCTTTTATTTAACTTCATCTAATTGAAGACATCTGTAGTGGTGCCACACAAAATTTAATTCAAGCTTCAAAATGTCAATAAAAAGTGTCTGTAAGAAACAATACTGGCATAAACCTGGCGGGGAAGTGTGCATCAACATCTCCGTAGCCATACAAAATTAAGAATATAATAGCAGTCTGCTGCCTGACTTGACGAGGTGATAAAAGCCCTTTTCCTATAAAGCCTAATGAGCTCTATTACTCTTCAGCTTTCAGGAATGCAAAGGCCAGTGGACTCAGCAGAGTAAAAGCAACAAACTCTCCACACATGGATTCATTCAAACTGCGACATATCGCGTTACCAGCGTAATTACTATAACCTGACAATTTCATTACAGTCACGCCGTACTTAACTCTTTAAGACTAACAAGAAAGATAGTGAAACAGATCTACAACAGTTTGCTTATTGGAAAAGAAACAGCAGCATCTCTCCTCAACGTTTAACTCACACTGGAGTGAAATACAAGGTCAGAAAATTATTTAGTAATATATTCTTTTCTTTAAAAGAAATAAGTCAAGAGTACAGTAATTTCTGCCTTTTTGTTGTTTTTTTTTTTTTCTCCTAATGCAGTGATATGAAATTCAGGGGTAGATAATTATTCAGCTCCTCAAGCTCCTTTACAGATTCAGTGTTACTTTCCTTACTGGCTGCCGATGAGACAACACTGACACCCATCCGTGCCATCTATACCCATGATGTACCAATTGCAGAAAATAAAAAGGAAAGCATACATTCACTTCACAACCTGTGTCTAGAATTAATGCTTACCTCAAGGGGAGAATCACAGAGGAATCGTGTGAACTGCATCAAGGTAAATACATCAAAAATGTGTCCCAGAAGATGGTCCAAACATGCAAAGTAGAAAAACAAGAATATTAGTAATACTTCAGGATACATTACAGCTCAGACAAGCATATAGTCTCAAAGCATTATAATTACAAAAAAAAACAACAGATTTTAGGAATTGAAATAAAATTTCCCAACAAATTTCCACCTTCTGTTTTGTGAATAAAAAAATACAATCACTAATTATAGAAGTTAAGTGACTTGGATAAGATAGAAACTTAAAAGTGAGATGAGAGAGAATTATCACCCTGTAACACAGATCTGTTGTTTATTCTAAATTACACATTGTTTTTCTATGGGACCTCCTGCAACAGGAAGCCCTTTCCCATAGTTCCATTGTGCATGTCCATCACTAAGGATGGAGCTTAGGGCCATCATGTCTCTTGATATAAATTAATCAAGGCTATTTGCAATCACAATCAGAAGCAAGCCTGATTGAATTTAAAGATGGAAGGGGGAAAAAAAAATCAACTTCCTGAAAGTGCAAATATTTTCAAAACTAGATTCTTTACTCAGTATGAAATGTTGTGCTACAAATAATCAAACAATGGGCAAGTTTTTAATGAACTGGAGCTTGTTCAAGATTCTAAGAGCAGTAAAATATAATAGCTGTTTACTCACCAACATTTACATATTTGACACAAATACTTCCTTACTGGTAGACTCCACATAAAACACATTAAAAGATATTACAAAGTTCTGGTATGCATTTAACCCCAAAACATTCCTTTGTTAAACAGCTAAGTTTGCATTACACAGTTCCCTCCCCTCCTGTAATGAGCAGAGTGATTTAATAAGTCAGTGGTTAACAAACTGTAAAGAATAATAAACAGGAACTTGAAATGTTCAGCTTGATAAAAAGAATATAACGATACCCACAAGAAGACTAATCACAGGAGTTTTTGGTCAAGAATCCTACAAACTCCTCAGCTAAATGAGAGAAGAGAGTTCTTCTTAAACAGAGATGCATCAAAAGGCAGGGGACTACTTGCAAAGCATTTGACCATCAGGAAGCTGTGTGGGCACTGGAGCTCTGGCACAGGTACCCAGAGAGGATCTGGGTGGAGATCTGCAAAGGGGAGACCCCAAACCCACCTGGATGTGGTCCTGGACACCCACATCAGCCCCAGACTGCTCACTTCCCCCTATGCAGGGGACAAGAGAAAACAAGCAACACTAAGAAGTGCCAATACTACAAATGGCTGACTTAGGACCAAGTCCCATATACAGCCTAAGTAGTTATAACTACTTCTTTTCTTTCAAAAATGCTATAAAATCAGATTTTATTAACAAAAACACAGCCTCTGGGATATATATGGATCTGCAAACATTAAGTGGACCATTCCCAGTGTAGTGCAAAGTGAGCTTTAATGTCCTCTAGGATGCACTGAAAGGTGTTCCAGTGCTGACACTAAAAGAATCAGGGCTTCACAGAGACAAACTTCAGATTTCCCCCTCAAACACACAGTAATGTTCTAGCTGACCTATGAATGAATGACAAACTTTAGGGATAAACACTGAATTTCTACTGAGCTGCTACCGAAAACAATGTAATGTGCATTTTCCATAATTGGCAATTTTAGATGTGCTCATCACCAGAGCAGTGGATACCCTAAATTACTGAGTTTAGAAAAACAAGTTATTGTGATATCTGAATTCAGTTCCAAAGTTTTTTATGATTTGCTGGATAGGGACAGAGAGCACGATGGGAAAAGAAAACATAGACAGTATTTGAGGAGAACAAAAGTAACTCAAAATTTGAATTATCGAGTTATGCTCCCACAAATAAAGAACAGACATTTACAAATTCCTCCAGTGCTCGTGCATCAGTCTCTACAGCCAATGCCTTTAGAATGTGCAGGCACCAGAAGAATAAACCATGTGTTATTAATTTTGATGTCAGAAGACCCCCAATAGTTCTTAATCTGTAACTTTAGCTTTATAGTGCAAGTCAAACCCTATGGGTGAGAGAACCGAGCCAACAACACTTTTCAAATAGCTGTATGGATTCTCCAGGCTCCACGTTGGGTGGGGGGGACGTTCCAAGTGTTCCAAGCATAACTTCTGCTTGCAACCGTCTCCACTGGTGGCTAGAAAAAGAATTTACTGCACTTGAATTTGTACCACAGGCTTAGCAGAATGAAACACTGCAAGTTTTATTACAGATTAGTTCATCCCTTTACATTTGTTGAAGTTCTCAGGTCAGATCAATTTCTTAATCAACCTCAAGAAAACTTCAGGAAATTGTGAATCAAATGAAGCATTTCATTTTGATGTTTGAATTTAATTCACACACAAAGTGGGAAAGTAACAGGTATTTTGGATGTGCTAACCTTTGTTGTTGTCATCTCAGCCCATACTCTGCCCTCACACCACCAAAACCACAACACCCATCGTAACTCAAGAATACACCTTGTCTACATGTGTACTTAAGCTCAACTATGCACGAGATTCATTTTCTCATGTGACAAACTCATTTTTATGACTGCAGGATTATTATGAACACAACCCAAAAAACGATTCAACGAACCATGAAAGCAATGCAGTCAAAAGCTAGTGTTTATGTAAAATAAATCAACCTGTCACAGGGGCACAATTGAAATTCCTTTCACAAAGTCATACTTTTCTAATTTTAATTTCAAATTGAATTACATAAGCTTCAATCTTTTAAAAACCATATATACGAAACAGCAAGATTCTTTCTTTGGTGCAAATTAATTTCAGTTGCCATAAAAAAGCCATCACAGCGACCAGAAGACCAGGAAAGAAGTTCAAATAAAACTGAGAGAAGATGACACAGCTAAGGATTAAAATTGGAAGGAGAGGGCAGAAAGATAACTGAGCACATGCACACCTTTAAAAAGCTGCAATAAAACTGGAAGGCTGTACAGGCAAAGGAAGCCATTCAGATGCTTTGGATGCCAACCCAGCATGGGTTTCACCTGGTAACTCAGTAACTTCCAAGTTTAAATAAATACATCTTTGCTGTCAAACATGAACTTTCCTTGTTCATCTTCACTTGCAGAGTGACAGAAATAAGAAATACACACTAAAAAAGTCCTTCAGTAGCCACAGACCCAAAGCTGGAAAAGGAGAATTTAAAAGACAGTAAATAGGAAAAGAGTCAGTTTAAAGTTTGACTTATTGTCTTAAGTGCAGTTTTCAGAGCAAGGATTATCAGACTGACGAAACAAATAATTGGTGATGGGACAACATTTACATTTCAGAATTACTATTTCAGTTTATTACGGAGTGACTAAAATCACTGTGGCTTTGTCTCCTAAGAGAATATCATTCTTAAAATAATGGAGATCTGTAGTAAAGTGTTGATACTCAGTGCCAAAATAAGAAAAACCATGTAAACTGGGATGCAAAAACTGAAATGAAACAGTATGGACAATTGGCTTAGTTGACTGGACACCAAAATGTTCGGGCTCTTATAGGCATTTAAAGAATAAAATTAATGGATCCACAACAGAGGGCCACACAGAATGGAGCAGACAGACCAGCACCAGCTCTGTAATCAGCACAGTAAGAGATCCCTGTGGCAAAGGGACTGGGCCCACCATGAGGAGCCAGTCACCAGTGAGCACTGCCATTGCCTCCAATACCTAAAGAACTCATTCAAGAGCATTCTAAAAGCTGCTGCCTAGGCAAGCTAAGAGGGCTACAATAACCACAAGGTCTTGGTTTGTCTTTTACACATTCTCTCGCTAGCCAAAGAAATGGAGGAGGCTAGATTAGAGTGACCTAAGGGTTTGGAGTTTGCTGCTGATACCAACTTGGAGTTGATCAGCACATGCTCCTCAGCATTTCCTAGGCTCCTTGCTTGGTTTCCTACAGTAGTTCAAGTGTATTTCTGGGAGGCAATTAAAGGAACTGGAAAAGAAAAAAAAGCAAACATACCTATTTCAGTAATTTTTTGCACCTTTTCAAACAGCATATCTTTTGTGTGTTGCTAAATTCTTTTCTTCCAAGACAAATATTTGGTTAAGCACAAAGCAAAGCGAGTGTCCGGCCAGCTTTGCAGAGGGAACTGACACAGATACACTGTTCTTCTACAAACTTGTCATTATAAAACACCCATGAAAAGTTAAATAACTTGCTCCAGTAGGTCCAAACAACAATAAACTGTTCTCTCTGGCTCCTTCTGGTAACTACTGTAGATTTTTTTTTATGATTATTTATGGAAATGTTTCCTAACTTGTATTGCTGCACATAGTTTGTTTCAGTCACACTTCAGCCCTTTTCCTTAAAGGAAAGGCTACCATAAGAAAAATGAAAAATCACATTAATGAAATGAGCATAGAGTGTCACTGTTCCAAACCTCTCATAACAGCCATTATGGGTGCCAAAGAAGAGGCAGGGAGAAGAAAAATGCTGCATTTCAAACACATGGCAAAATATCATGTAAAAACTCTGTTTGGAAACTTTTTTTAGTACAAGAACTGAATACAGCTTAAAAGCAAAAGTAGCCAACAGCTCATTTGTGTATATATATTTTTTAGTGCATACATAATGTAAAGCAGATATTGTGTTGACAACTTATACTCCAAGAAGGATGTTAAGGAGGACAAGATTGGGTCAGAAATGCAATGCTTCTGGTGAGATGGATACTTAATTGTTAAGAGAAATCCCACGTTCTATCCCACGTTCTGCCCAAATTAGCCAGGGATTACATCACTGCAATCAGAACTTTGCTTTCTTGTCACAGAAGGGCCAAGAAGTTCTCAGTGTATTTGTTTTGTTTACAAACTTTGCCTCTGGGGCTAGCCAGCTCCACATCTGCATCTACCATTCAAAAACCAAGAAAAGCATTTTAACAGTTCATGTATATAAAGCACTGAAGCTGGTAGCAAAACACGCTGAATCATTGCTGTTAACCATTCTAATGCTGGGTTATGTTGAATCACAGAATCTTCCACATCTGCAGTCTGCAAAGCCCTCCCTTCAAC